TCATAATCGGGCTTTGCAGATATGTCATGACCTCATGTTATTCTTGCAAATACTTATCAATGGAAAGAAGAATGGCTGCTCATCTCCCCATCCAAATGATGCATTTTTGAACAAAATAAAATCTGTCCATTCGAAAAAAAAAAATAAAAAAAATACAGAGGAATTATTTTTACAATAATTATTTTATCAAATCCAAATACAGAATATTCTTAACAATTTTCGTCAACAGATTTTTTATTTACATGAATAAAAAAATTGTGTTTTTGGAAAATGCCTTTTCACAAAGTTGCACAGATGATTTGTTGTTTGAATTAAAGCTACGTGTTTATAACAGAATTTTAAAACTGAGTTCGTACGATTTTTCTGATAAAAAAAGTGCCATCCAATTGCTAAACGAAATGTATGACATGAGGGCAAATAAAAATGCCCCTTACTTTTCTCTTCAAACGCGTCTTCAGGATTATGGAGAAATTATGAGCAGTGAACTTTACCACATGAAGGTGTACCGTTCTGCTTCTTCTTCCTGCCTCAATTCAAATCAGCCTGTACAAAATTATCGCCCATACGCCCATATAAAAAGCCACGCGCAAGAACACTCTCTCGAAAGAAACATTGCAAAAAAAATTGAAGAAATGAATAAGTACAGATTTGATCCAATAACAGACTACAACGGGGTTGTAAAAAACAACATCAGAGACAACTGCTACTACGATGTAGATTTTTATCACTTCCTCGATTGTATCCACAATATGGACCAAGGTACTTTGTACAAAAAGACCCAAATTGCAGAATATAAAAAACATTTGAAAAACAGCTTTGCAGACAATTCGCTCTTTCAAATTTATTTCAACTTCCTCACGTACATGTCCAATAACCCCAACATGTTTCATCACATGAAGAAATATTTGCATTTCCATCCCTACTCTACCAAGTTGTTAAAAAACAGGACGTATTACTTTAACATGGATTTGCTCAATGTCATTTTTACCTTTGACAACGAAGCTTTGGGTGAACTTAAAAGTGTCCTCACCTTATTCCCTACTTCTCCCTCCCTCGATGAGGTGTTCACTGCAGTCTCTCTGATGCACATGCCACTTGGCGGATCATAACGATGAGGCGGGGTTGTCATATGGCACTGCGTGTGCGTACATGAATAGCTTCCCCCCCACACACACTGTTCGTCAACCCTATTTTTTTTTTTTTTTTTTTCCATTTCGGTTTTAAACGGATGGCCCAATGCACAGCTATATGCCTACGAATTGGGATTCACGCTGGGCGGGAGATGGTAAGGAATGCACCGCGTGATGATGTCGCTCCCGTGGCTTATATATGTTCCCCCCTTTCAGCAGTCACACTGCTAACAAGGGAAAGTATCCTCATACACATCATCAGTGAACAATGCACATGGTTTTATTAAAATAAATTTATTCCTTCCCTTTTAAAAAAAAATAAACATGGGAAGGTATTTTAACCAAGGCAAATATATATTTTGTACCAACACCCTCCCTTTTGTATACCTCTAAGCGTTGTCCTGCGGTCACATGTTGATGTGCAGTCAACGGAGAAAGACCAGCTATGTTTCAAAATGTATCACCACCCCGTGTTCACCAAATGGTCACATAACAGCGCAGACACAGATTAAGCAATGTCGCGATGTGAAAAGGGATAAAAAAAAAGAAATATAATTTACAACGCAGAGCTTGGGGGGAGCACACCTGGTTAAGTCTCTAAAAAAAAAAAAAAAAAAAAAAAAACGAAGAAGGGAAAACACACATAAGATGCGTCACTGTACAAGTAGTTAAGGAGAAAAATGTTAGTCAATATGACCATTTTTTTTTATTCACTTCTCCTTTCCCATTATTGTAAAAAAAATAAATATTTTCCGTGTAGTTATATACCCCATGTAAATGGGTCAACTTTTCTTTACCATTAAAGGAAAAAAAAAAAAAAAAAAAAACCAACTTCGACTTGGTTTTATCCGAAAGTGAAAGCGAAAATGTCTATATTTTTTTAATCGCCTTGACGCAATAATCCTCAAGAGAGTACAAAATTCGTGCAGTTCACAACATTGTGCTTTTATGTTTTGTTACTTTTTTCTTAAAATATATGAAGAGAAAATCCCATGGGTACCTCCCGAAGGAGGAAGGAAAATGCCCTTTTTTAAGCCAACTCGATTGATTGGCTATTTTTTTTTTTCACTTTAAACAAAACTATGAGTTAAAAGTAATCACAAAAGGGAAGAGGGCAAATCAGCATGGACTCACTTGACAGTTTTATAAAGAAGAAAAAGGAAGAAATAAAAGGTTCGCAAGAGAAATGCAACGGCCGAATGTTGGAATGGCCTAATGTAGGAACGCCCTAGTGTAGCAACTCCAAAGGCATACACACACGGGGAGAGCCTACCTACGTGCATAAGATCACTGTGTAGGAGAGTTGCCATAACAACATTCACAAACGCATTTATGCGAATGTACCCAAAACGAGCTGACAGGATGGTCCCACTTCATGTTTTCTTTTTTTTCTCCCCGTCCGACAGAAATCAAGGGAAACAAGAGGTGGTTCAAGCAGGCAGATTTGGAAAGTAAGAAAAAAACAGAAATTAACAAGTTTTACGAGAATGAATATAAAAAGAAGAAAACAGAGGAATATGAAAGGCTAAAGGTAAAGAAATGAAAAGGCTTTACAACTGAGAACAGTGATGGTGACGCTGGGGGGTTGATTCGCCTTAGTTGTTGTCCACGTTGTCCCATTAAATCCTATCGTATCATACAATGTAGCATAAATGTCTGTTTTTTCTTTTTTTCCTTTTCCCATCTCTGCAAGAAATTAAATGACGAACTGGACGCAAAACGCAAAAAAAACAGCGTAGACGTGAAGCATGAAGAAACAAATACAGGTTAAAAAAAGAAAATTATGTAATCACAAAATGACCCATCTATATGCAAATTATAACACTGATCAATATTTTTTGTTTTTCCCGCATGGCTTACACAGAAGTGCTTCAAAGATTCACATATGCCCCCACAACACATTTTTCTCATTTTCAACGTCGCTACTTTTTTTTTTTTTTTTTTGCGCAGAAATAACTTTAACGAACAGGCAGATAATCATTTTGCTGCGGCAGCTGCAGGAACCAATCAGGCTGTTTGGAGAAACTGACTTGGAAAGGTATCATAAAAGAACGGGACAGAAAAAGGTGTATATATCATTACCCACCGTGACACCGCTTAAACGCACATGTGTCAGCCGAAACAACCTACGTTCAATGGTCCATTTTTTTTACCACCCCCTTGCAGATACAGTAGATTGAAGGAGTTAAAAATAAACAAAAATGAGTTAAAAATTAATGTCCAAAATGTATTTGGCGATGTTCTAAGGGGGAAGTAAGACAGTTGAAAACGTTTGCATTTCTATGTGCCTATATGTATGATATGTATCCATGTCCGTAGGGATAAATTTTCCCAGACAGCAACTTCCCCTGTGCATCAAAAATCACCTGAACGAGTCATACATTTATTTATTATTTATTTTTTTTTTTTAAGATTAAAAGAAAATTCGCTAGATTTAATTGAGGACAACCTGGAAGACGATATTGACAATGCCAACTCGAAGGAATCAGCAGAATTGAATGGATCCACTGCAGAAAAAAAAAGTGATGAAAAGGGCCAGGGAGTGGACAAGGAAAGGGTTATACTCGACTGGATAAAAAGCACAATGAAGGAGTGGAACGAAGAAATTGAAAATGGCGATGACAGCAACAAGAAAATAAAGAAAGCTACATACTTGCAGACGCACAAGGATTTGAAACCATTGGAGAAGAAGCTGAAGCAGAAGAAGTAGGGCCATCGTGGCAGTAAACTAGGCATACTGCAAAAGTGCACCTTTTTTTCCCAGCGCCAACACCTGTAGACATTTGCTCATATGAATGGAATTTACTTTTTTTTTTTTTTTTTTCTCTTCGCAGCCTGGAAGCAGACGTGCTGGACAAAATATACAACATCGTTTCTCGTTGCCAGGAGAGGAACTTCAAAGCGGCGCATGATGCGTAAGTGGGAGTGTTAAAGGAGGCCAAGCAGAGCGGCACGGTCCATTGTGCGTCCACAATGGGTATAACACTTATTACGTACATTCGTGTACAAATGAATACTTAAACATTCGAACATGTGTGTTATTTTCCCCACAGGTATATGCTGCTCGCAATAGGGAACGCCGCGTGGCCCATGGGTGTCACGATGGTTGGGATTCACGAACGTGCGGGGCGATCCAAAATTTTCGCGTCGGAGGTAAGAAAGAGGCATGTATATGGGCAAGGACGCGTCCTATTCTGCTCTCATTTGTGTGCACCTTCCGATAGCTGCGTTTTCCGCGTGGCGACAATTCCCCGCACACACAGTAACTTTTTCACGAGACGCAGAATTTGTATTGACTTTCTTTCCCCACCCCCCTTCCCCAGGTTGCGCACATCCTTAATGACGAAACGACGAGGAAATATATTCAAATGATTAAAAGGTAAAAGGCAGCTCTGTTGTCTCGTCTTTGCGTGTATGGGCGTGGCCAAATGCCAATTCTGTTGCTTCTACACGTACCGTCCTGTGTTGTATGTCGCATGAATTTTGCCCGCCAACTCGCTCAGCCCAAAATAAAAATAATAATGTTAATTGCTACTTTTTAATTCTTTCCGTATTTGTTATATTCCTCTTTTCAGTACATCGCCCCCCTGTTTTTTTTTTTTTTTCAGGTTACTATCCTTTTGCCAACGGAAATATTGCACCAACCCCTCGGAGGCAGTCAATTTGTCCACCATCCACATTTAATTTAAAGTTTTGCTTTTTTTTTATTTTTTACCTGACTGTTCAGAATTTTTTTCACCTTTTCCGTTCCCCTTTGTTTTGCCATTTTTTGAAGTGCCCATAGGGGTGCACACATAATGGGAATTTCACTTTTTATAAATTGTCTCCTTTTACGTTTACTTTTTTGCTGACTTTTATGCCTATTTTTTTTTTTTTTTTTGTCTTAACTAACAATTTGCTTACCAGCAGCGGTAATATTCATCATGAAAAAAAAAGTTTCAAAATTTTGGAGAGACAAAATAGCCAAGGAAGTGATGGCGAGTAAATAACACATAGTAAAAAGTATACCGGAATGGTAGGGCATATGCATATATACACGCAGTCATATCATTTTCCATTTTGAAAAAGAAGACTCGTTGATCAGAAGGAGCAAGTTAAACGGTCACCATAATGTCCTTCATATACAATCATGAATTCGAATTGGTGGGGTTTATTTTGTCAGCCACATGGGTCGCTGAGTGTGTCCAGACATACACGTGCCACTTCCGCCTAGCAGTCGTAATATAAGTAGTAATCGTACGGAGTGATCTTCCTCCTGTAGCCCGCTATTTCGTCCCTCTTGAACTTTATATACTCCTCAATGACTTCCTGCGTTGGGGAAAGAAAGGGGCGAATAGAAGTGGTAAGCAAACGGGTACGTATCGGCAGGGAAAAACGTGCAAGCACGCATCCCGACGAGACGCACCTCGGTGAAGATTCCGTCCCGCGTCAAAAAAGCGTGGTCCTTCTCTAGCGCATCCAAACTCTCCTCCAGAGAGAAGCATATGCTCTCGGGCTCCTTGCAAGTGAAGAAATCAACAAATTCTGGGTTCTTCTTCACATCATGAATGGTGTCGTATCCCTCCAGTGCATGTGTGAGAGTTTTGAAATTTTGTGCGTTATCAACGTAATTGGAAAAAATGCTGGAAATAAAAAAGTTGTTATCTTTACTCTCAAATGGCACCAGTGGGTGTTCCTTCGATTTGATACCATCATATCCTGCTAGGATGATGGCGGCCAGAACTAAGTGAGGAGAATTGGCATAATCAGGAAGTCGGAACTCAATTCGCTTTTCATTTGGATTGTTATAATTAATCATACACAACCTAATAACAGCATTTCTGGAGCCAAAGGAATAAAATAGCTTCTGGCAAGTTTCAAATCCTGGGACTAACCTTTTATAAGAATTCATGGTGGAATTACAAAAGGCTTGTAACGCTTTGGCATGTTTAATAATTCCATTCATAAAATAAAAGGCCTCTTTGGAAAGGAAAAAGGTGGAGGGGTCATCAGCAAAGAATATATTTTTGTTGTCTTTCCAGAGGGAAATGTTACAGTGTAAGCCACTTCCATTATCACTTACTAAAGGTTTCGGCATGAAGGTAGCCGTTCGGTTGAACTTATGTACGATACTTTTTATTACCTGTTTTGTCAAGATTAAATTATCTGCATTCCTAACAGCATCAAAATATTTCAAAGATATCTCGTGTTGGCTAGTCGAAACTTCGTGGTGATATTTCTGTACATGAATATTCAAGCTGTTTAATATTCTGCAAATTCGAAGCTTGATTATGTTGGAAGTATCATATGGGTCTGTAGCAAAATAGCCGCATTTTTTTTTCACCTTTTTACTGTCATCATTTGCTGGAATGTTACTAGGGCAGGTGGAGCAAGCCAGGCTGGTTGTAGTACCATGATCTCCATTACTTGTGGAAGAATACCCAGTGCAACAATTTTTACAAGCAAAAGATTCCCTGTCGTAGACCTTCAAATAACTGTCATAATCATCAAGACCAAAATTGACCTTGTCGAAAATGAAAAACTCAATTTCATTTCCTATGAATATTTTGTCCGCTATATTTTCCTTCTTAACAAAATTACACGTCTTTTTTAAAATGGTTCGAGGACATTTGTAGAAGTCAAACCCATTATACCTTTTGATGTCGCATAGTACATTTACCATGTTCCTTCCATCACACTTTTCAATGAAACACGTTGACACATCCACCTTTATGTAGAAATCGCTGACCTCTGCCTCTGCGCATAGCTTGATGGAAGACCCGTCAAAGGGGAAGCCATTCTCCAACTTGGCCAGAGAAACTTCCGACACATAGAAAAAGCACTTGAAGAAACTCCCCAATAGGTTGCTAATGATGCAGGCCAATATCTCCACGTCATTCTTCTCGTCCTGTATGAAGTCGAACAGCTCGGCTGCGCTAGAAAACTGCAAGGGTTCTTCGAGTGGGGGAGAAAAATAGGGAAGAGCGTTAGACAAACGTGTGTGGGTAATCATACGCTCCTAAATATACGCATAATATGGTACTTAGAAGCTAGCCAATTTTTTTTTTTCTTTCTTTTTTCCGTACTCATTTTAGAATAGCTAGTTATCCTCAATGTGGGGGACCCTTAACCTTTCGCAGATTTGTTTATAGATCTAGCTTTTCTAGAAATGGGGTGTGCAACCCTCGTGGTGTGTGTTCGTTCTGTGACGGTCCTCTACCTCTGATTCGATTCAGTAAGGACCTAACCTAAATAGTTGCTTTGGCCTTATATGTGTATTTCACCAAACTGGGCACTCCCACGCAAAGGGGGTAAGCAGCACCCGGAGAGCAAAAAAATGGCAAAAGTTGACCACACACTGGCAAAAAAGTAGCAAAAATATATATGCAAAAAAATTAGTAAAAAATTGACAAACCATGAAACAAAATATCGCAAAATTGTTACCAACTTTTATGGCCAAATTGGAGACAACAAAACAAATTCCCGTGTGCTCAAAAAAAAAAAAAAAAATTTCCTCTGAAGTGCTTATACCCCAAGGGGGAAAAAAAAAGTACCTAAAAAAAAACTGGCCCAAATTTTGCATGCGAAAGGAAACCATCTGGTAGTTTATGGAGGTAAAGTGCGGCAGGGCAGTTCCCTGGTCAGGCTAAGTAGTGTAAAAACACACCCCGCCAAATACACACTCGCTCCGGTGACCATATATTTGGTACGCTGCAAGGGGGTAGGTATAAAAACCTATCAAATTATGAATTGCCCCCTTTTTAGGTGTGTAAGCCGAACATTGGGATGGCATCACCAAAAATGTAGCTCCTGATCATATACTCTCCGCAAAAGGATGAATCATTAAGCGGACTCATATGTGTAGTGCAACAAGCGGGTTCATACAAGGGGGCGCACGGCTCGGAAGAACGAAAAACAAAACGTGTTAAGCGGAGCCGCACACCTCAAAGTAGGTCCACCTCTTTAAACATAAGTCGCAACGATGTTCCCTTGGTGGGGAAATTCTACTATATAACACAACTTAACAAAAAAAAGAACAAAAAATTCATTTTACCTTTTTGCTTCAGTACAAACAAGCAGCAAGGAAAGCAGAAAGCGTTGATGGTGGTAAAACAGTTACCATACAAGTACAACCATTTTTGCACGAACAAACGCATACACGCCTCCGACGTGCTGTGGATTACCAAGCGGCAGTTAGGCTGAATGTGCCAAAGTTACACACCCCGTTCTTCTTCTGCATGTCCATGTCAGTGCGATCGCTTTTTCTCACCGGAATGGGAGTCGTCCCTCCGTGGCTGCACGTGTCCCTCTGTTACATTGCCTTAAAACGTTGGCATATCCCTCTTACGGGATGAACGTGCCTCTACCCAATATCGTTGGTCGGTAATTCGTCGCAATGTTTTTTTTTTTTAGATGAAACACGATGTGAGTTGGTGCGTACGATTGGTTCAGGACAGGTGGAAAAAAAAAAAAAAAAAAAAAAAAAAAGCAGGATGGTTAGGGCGACCGCGTCTCGGCGGCGAATCACTCAGTGGGGTGTAATACAACAATGGGGGAACAGATCAGGGACCTCTCCAGCGACGGTGCTTACGTACATATATGCATGGAAATAAAACACACGTGATCACTCTCTATGCAGACGCAGCTGCGTGGGGGGTGAACAGGGAAAGCGCTTGCGCGGAAACGGGGTACAGCTGCTTTCCTCTAAAAGTATAGCGCAAGTTACTTGCTCGAGAGGGCCAAAACACCTGGGAGCTCCTTCCCTTCTAGTAGCTCAAGGGAAGCCCCTCCACCAGTGGACACATGGCTAATTTCGTTCTTCTTGTGTTGTTGTTCCACAAGCGAAGCAGTATCTCCTCCACCGACGATGGTTATCGCTCCCTTCTTGGTAGCTTCAATGACCAAATTTAGACATTCAATACTTCCCTTTGCAAAATTGGGCATCTCAAATACCCCCTGGGGTCCATTCCAAATAATTGTTTTGGAGCCTAAAATGACGTCCTTATAATTTTCAATACTCTTAGGTCCAGCATCAAGTCCCATCCAATGATCTTCAATGCCTTCCTTATCAGTAACAATTTTAGTATTGGCATTATTATCAAATTTATCTGCTACTTTAAAATCAACAGGAAGGTAAATTTGTACATTTTTCTCCTTAGCCTTGTTCATAATTTCATTTACAATTTTGCTACCAGCTTCATCAAAAAGGGAATCTCCAATTTTCATATTATTCAAAACATACTTGAAAGTGTAAGCCATGCCTCCACCAATTATCATTTTATCCACTTTGTCTAGAAGATTTTTTATTAATTGAATTTTATCTGACACTTTGGCTCCACCCAAAATAGCTAGTAGAGGTCTCTGGGGATTTTCTAAAGCCTTACTAAAATATTCTAATTCCTTTTTCATTAAAAACCCAGAAGCTTTCACATTCAATTTTATTCCAACCATGCTGCTGTGTGCTCGGTGAGCTGTTCCAAACGCATCATTAATAAAGATGTCTCCTAATTTGGTCAATTGATTTTGAAAAATTTCCATGTCTTCTTTATTAGCCTTTATTTTATTTCCAGCTGCATCTACCCCTTTTCCTTCTTCTTCTATATGAAATCTCAAATTCTCAAGTAGAATAACTGAATTGTCCTTGGCTTGGTTGATTTGTTGTTCTACTTCTTCTCCTACACAGTCGCTCAGGAAAAGTACTTCTTCCCCAAGTAACTTCTTTAAAGTTTCTGCAACGGGCTTTAATGTGTATTTGAGATTCTTCGAACCGTCGGGCCTTCCGCAATGAGAAATCAAAATAATCTTAGACGCTCCTTCCTTCTTCAGGTGGTGAATCGTCGGCAGGGTAGCCGTAATTCTGTTCGTGTCCTTTATAATTCCATTCTCAATTGGTACGTTGAAATCTACCCTCACCAGCACCTTGTTCCCCTTGATGTCCTTCACGTCGGTGATGCTTAGCTTGTTTCCCAACATTGTTGCCTCTGCGGTGGAGCGGTTAAGTGGAGAAGGGGCGAAATGGAGCAGCGGTTAAGTGGAGAAGGGGCGAAATGGAGAAGCGGTGAAGTGGTTGTAGAGGAAGAGATACAGTTCGCTCTTAACAATGACGTAGCACTCATCTGGGGGTGAACAAACTCCTCCTTGCGAGCGCTATGCCCTCAGCAAACCGAACTGTGCTTACCTTGCGTGGATGTGATGATTCCGTTGGTAATTTACTACTATATTTTGAATATACCGCAAAAAAAGTGCGTACGAAATATTCAGGAAAAAAAAAAAAGTATTAATCAGTGGTAGTGGTCCCTTCTATAAAGCCTTGGCGTTATTCCAAAAATGGGAATCGAGAAAAAGTAAAATTGCGTTTTGTTTGCCAAAGTTAAGAAAAAAAATATATAATATTGTACCTTGTAGAGATTAATTTTTGCAGAATGGGATAAATATTTTTGCTTTTTAATTAAATTGAAAATGTGAAAAATTGACGCTATTTTTTTTTTTGTGCGTTGGGATGGAGGCGATGTTTTGCGTTTGTGGAGAGAGGGCATCTCGTTTTTTTCTCGCTACCACGGGATGGGAGCGCATGGGCATACACAAAAAAAAAAGAAAGAACCACGACCACCAGTACCACGCGGAGTTACCGCTGTATGCGCGTACTCCCCTTCTACGCTCAAATGAAAAAATTAAGTGGAGCAGCGTCGTGCAGCCAGCGACAGCGCCGTGGCGATACGCATTATGGTAGCGTATCCCGCCTCTTAGCTATATATAAATATGCCACGGGAGAGTAAACGCCATAATGAAAGCCACTTCCATTTTGTTGCCCCGTCCCCACCTACAAGTGCAATGTGCACGGTGATAGCGGATCAACGGGGCCCACCATCATGCGTACGAATTGAAGTGGGTATAATGCTTTGAAAAAAAAAAAAACGGCGATTATTTGAATTTGCCTGAAGAAGCGAGAGCGTGCATGGCGTGGAGCTAAGAACTCCTGTATTAGCAGTACACGGTAGTGCATTTTACTAAACGTCATCATACTACATTAGCCCCGCGCTAGGTGGCAAAACGCGACGCGCCTTCGCAAGTACCGCTATACATATAAATGGCTACCTTAAAAAAAAAAAAAAAATAATAATAAAGGAAATTCCCTCATCCTTTTTTTTCTTTTTATTTTAATTTGATTTTCTTTTTTTTTTTCCTCTTCCAGTAAGTGAAAAAATGGAGAAAAAAAAAAAAGAAAAAAGAATCCCGGATGTGTCTAAAGTTTGTATTCCACATGGACGTTGTGTCGTTCCATCAGGTAGGAGCTGAGAAGGCAAAAAATGTTATGGGCGGTAAATGGGGCAACATATTTGCATAAAATTGGCAAAGAAATGTACGTCTGTCCGCGTCGCCCACTTGCTCCACATTATGTCCTCACTGAATCGTGTACGCAAAGGCTACATGATCGCCCCTTCTCCATGGGCATACACAAAAGGATGTGCCTTTATCTTACATATTGAAGGACTTACCAAATTGGCCTCGCCACGCTCATAAACTTAAGGAGCATTTCGTTGTACTCGTCCGTCTCATCACTCTTGATAGTGACGGCGCCACCGGCACCGATGGAGATCTGCGAAAAAGGGAAAAAAAAAAAAAAAAAAAAAAAAAGGATCGAGTGAATGCAAATTGGTCGCAGTTAATAGCGTTTGCATTTTTTGCCACTCTTTCACGCCTGCCTCCTTACCGCGTTATTTTGCACCACGGCCGTTCGAATGACGATGTTAAGGATAAAATTGTCCTCCACGGAGATGAACCCAATGGATCCGGAGTAAACCCCCCGGGGGGCCTTTTCGATGCTGCGCGATGTGGGGGGAAGAGTGTGGACGAGGGAGTGTTGTGGTGTGCCCGGGAACGGGGTGACAATATGGAGGCACAATTTTGCAATTGTGTACGATGCGGTGATCGCTTCACGGTAGTGCTTGCGCGGTTGTGAAGTTGTGAAGTTGCACCGGTGTGCGCTTTCCCCGATGCAGCGTCCTGCCCCCACCTTTGCAGAAGTGAGATAGATATGGGTTTGGGCGCGCCCGTCATGGAACCGCCAGGAAATACATTCACAATGGCATCTGAAAAAGTTTTCTCAGGGGGAAGTCTTCCACGTATTTGGGAAACCATTTGGTGGAGATAAGCGTAGGTCTCAATCTTAAACAAGTGGCTTACACAAACGGTACCATTTAGGCAAATTCTGTGAAAGTCATTAGTCGTGAGATCTACAATCATAAGATTTTCGGCTCTGTCTTTTTTACTATTAAACAATTGGCTTTTCAGTTTTGCATCTTCTTCCTCCGATTTTCCTCTCCCTATGGTCCCTTTGATTGGTTTGCTGAAGAGCACGCCGTCCTTATCCTTTCGCAGGAATTCCTCCGGACTAAAACACATGATTGTGAATTGCAATTTCGAATCGATCGCGGGGTTACTACTTACTTGGGGGGGTAACGAGTCAGTGTGAACTTTCCTCGAGTAGTGAATGTAACAACTGTATGAAACTTTATTGACATCCCTTACATGCAGGTACATGTTTAGAAAATCTACACAGGGTGCATTATTATTATGCGACACGAAATAATTCCCCACAAATTGGGTCGTTAAGCAAAGTTCATATGAATGCCCCTTTTCAATGTACTCTTTGCATCGTTTTACATTTTCTATATATTCATCTTTACCTACCAATGGACAAAATGTAATTCTGTTTTCGTTTGCTTCATTCCCCTTCGGCAACTGCTGTAGGGGGGAGCACTCTGGGGGGATGCATGAAGAGGGAACCTGAGAGCCTTTCTTAGATCCCAATTTTGTCTGCACAATGTTCATAATTTTGTGGATGGCCATGTCATTCCATTTTGCATTGTAGTGCAGGAGGTCCTTTACATCTTGGTTTGTCCACAAGGGGAGGGAGTGCTCCAGCGGAGACTTAAAATGGGCCTCGTCCGTTTCGAGCGAAATTAAGTAAATATTATTAGTGACCAAATCGAGAGAGATAAAATTCTGAGGGAACATAAAAAGAGCAATTGGGATGGCATTCTTCGAATCCGTATCCTCGCCACCACTCTTCCATTTTTTTTTATACAATGTCTTCATGGTCTCGTAATTATATTCGTATGTGAAGAAACCAAAATATCCCAACAGGCAGCAGTCCTTATGCTTCACGAATTGGTCTTTTTCGATTCCTCCTTTGGGCAGGTAACCTTCGTAGGGACAGCCATCACGGGGGGGCAGTTGTCCCTCTTCTTCATCTTCCACTTCTTCATCATCGTCCTCCCCTGTGGAGCAATTGGCCATATCCTCACCACGGCTCGTTCTGTTCTCACTGAAGGTGCCATCCCACTTATCCAATTTGACCTCCTCCAAGTGAATGTTATAATTACCCTTAAAGAGCTTTATCTTGTCTCTCATGTGATGCACCAGACAGTTGTTTGAATCCTCACTGTAGTAGCTAACTCGATACGCTTCATCACTTGGCCCCTTCCCCAACTGAACGATTCTACCATTAATTCCGTGCCCTTCCCTACCCTCTCCGTAGTAATATTCTAACAGTTCGCTTAAACGCCCTTTCGCATTTCCCATGTAAGAAAATCTGCAGCTGTTATGTTGGTGATTGGTATGGGTGCGGCTTCCATCCACATTGGCACCTCCATCTTGTTTGATCCCCCCCTTGGCGTAGCAGCCCTCTAAAGGAGCATCATAATTTTCCCCGTTGCTGTCTAGCCAAAAAGACACATCGTTTGGGTCATAACAAATGGCTTTAAAAATGGCATGCGAAAAATTACGCAAGTTGTTCACCCCTGAAATTTTTACAATTTTTATTTTCCATGGTTTCTCTCTTCGTCCATTTGGGAGAAGCTTGTTTGGAGATTTTGCCTGCAGGTGTTTACTCCACAGTTGGTGCTCTGCAAAATTCACAGTACCTTGTCTGCCCCTCCCATCACCCCTCCATTTTAGTGTAATATTTGTAAAATTTTGAAAAAAGGTATCGCTGAAGTCACTTTCGATGGACTCCGGGTGATACTGGACAGTGTAGTATGGAAGATCTTTATGTTGAGTGCCCATAACTATGAACTCATTTCCACAAACAGAGTAGCAAGTAATCCTCAACGGATCAGTCACCTTTTTGCTTACCTTTAGGGAGTTGTAGCATGTTGCTTTGAACCCATCCTTTATATTTTCAAACAAATCGCTAGCTTCATTTTGGTACTTGCATATATTAATTATATTCGTGTCCCCATGGAACATGTTTTTTACTCTTTTTATTTTACACCCATAGAGGTGGCAAATTAATTGGTGCCCAAAGCATATACCCAGGACAGGAATGTTGATCTTCCTCTCCACTATCCCTGCGATGAGATCATTTCTGCTGCTTTTCGCCGTTTCAGGATTTCCATACCCCGGCGAGATCACCACATTGTCCACATGGTCATAATATTTGCTCATAAAAATTTCAATGGTTAGTTCTCCCGGGTGCACCACTATCGGTTCCGTACCGTTCACCTTGCGCAAGTAGTGCACGATGTTGTAGGAGTAGGAGTCGAAGAAATCGACGAAGAGGCTCACCACGGGACGTTCCATTGTGATATAATTTTCGCACGCAAAAATAGGAACGAAGTTTCCCCTTTTGTGTAGACGTGGCCACAAGGAGAAACACGCACCAAAGGGCAACAACGCAACTTAGCAGAATGGCACGGGGGTAGATAGTGCTTCCACACACGCATGGTTGTTCACGTTTTTACGTTTTCACACTGAGAGATAGCCCCCCATGCGCGGATGCCCTTTACGAGCTTAAGAAGCAAAAATGGCCACCTGCGCCTCCAGCTAGCTAAACAATGTTAATGCAAAGCGGGAAAAAATAAATAAAAAAAAAAAAAAAAGAACGACTACACCTGTGCGTGATAAAAACCCTACATGTGCACGCCCCTGCGTGAGCCATCTACACATTCAAATTATCATATTTACTCCTTTCACATAACGACGCCTGGGGGCACCAATCTGTAAGCACGGCGGGAAAAGAGGATATACTTGTTACGTATAACTCATTTTGGCATAGCGCACCTCCCGCGGAAAGGAGAGAGGAACTGTAAGAACCTCCTCTACACTCTCCCCAAGTACAACCCCTGCAGTCACGTGCATTTCGCTTCCATGTAGGACGTCGATTATGGTTTGCGCCCTTTTTTTGACTCCCCTCTCCACATTAATCCCTCAAAGTGCACCTGTAAAATTTTCATATAGGGACTCTATTTCCTCCAGGTTGTATAGCAGCGAGGGGGTTCCCTTCTTCAACTTTTCGTATTGTGTGCTCCACTTCTTCCCGCGCAGCACCTGCCGACGTGGTGTGGGAAGAAGCAGTTAGAGAGAAGAGGTCAGTCGAGCGGTCAGCCAATTGATACGCTGAGGTAACTGTGCGCACCAGCAAGGCGCCTGCACGGCGTCACCACTGATCATTACAATGTTCCTAAATTTGCAATTCCCCTTGTTGGCCAAAAGTCCAAATGCCCCCTGTGAACGGTTAAGAAGAGAGTGTGCGGGTGTAGAGGGGGCACACGTCCCATTCTGTGTCCGCGAAACGATTGCGCAGATGAGAGACAAACGGGCACACATCAACAGAAAGGAGAAACTATAATCATTTAAATGGCACTGTGAAGGGATGAGAGAGGCGCAGACGGTGGTATAGAACCTATGTGACCACTTCTCCCCACTCAGACGCACCTGCTTAGATGTGCTGTACTCCGACTCGTCTTCGCTTTTCCTGAGATAGTCAACGGACAGGTCGCCATACTTGCCCGCTGTAACCTTTATGTCCTTTATCACTTCTTGCGCAAATAGGACGTACCACTCGTCGTTTTTAATCTTCAGTTCTTTAAATTCTAATTCGGGAATGGGAAAAAGGGATAGACGAACATGGGGTCACCACCTCACGTACGCATATATATAATTACACCATTGCACATGTGTACCCCTTTGTTCCTACCCTTGAGCACCAACAATTCTCCCTCCCTGACGCGAACGAGCTTTAAAACCTTGTTGTCTATTAGCAGCCCCCAGTAGTTGCGCTCCCCGATGATGCGAAAAATTAACCCGCACGACTGCGCGTCGTTCATTTGGACCTCCAGTTGGGCTATGGTTTTCTGACACAGGCATGATGAAGCGTAATGAGGCGTAATGATGCAGTAGCTCTGCCAGGCGAACATGCCAAATGAAAAGCGAGACGCTCCGAGGAAGTGCACTTTTTCCAACCCACCTTGCAGAAGAAGTCCCTTTTGATTAGGGACGTCCGGGTGGTCATCCTGAAGTCGTTAGCGCAATTGTGAGGGGGAAAAAAAAAAAAAAAAAAAAAAAAAAACAGCATAAGTGATGAGCTTTATTAACGGGGACTGCACCCCCCCACACACAGTCACAGTCACAGTCACAGCCTGAGTGACTTGTATGCGACTACGTTGGTGTGTGCGCGCAGTTGGGGAGGAGTAACCTGTTGTCAAGCCATCCAAAGGGAAAGGGATGATTCTAAAGGGAAGGTGAAATGTGTTTTATTAGTAGGCGTACAAATGGGACAAGACGTTCACTCATCTCCCCACGGTATTATGCACACACACAAAACATACGAATTATATAAACACGTCGCGTATAGGATTATATTCATTACTGATTCTCTGCAGCTGTCCTTCCCCTTGTATTCTATCACTGCCTTCTCATTGTCGATCTGCCAGTGGTCCGTTTGGAGCCATTGGCTATCTGGGAAAAAAAAAAAAAAAAAAAAAAAAGGCGGTAGACACCACATGGGGAAAAAGAGGTTTATATATGCGATTGTGGCATTTGTTTATAAAATGCACGTGTACAGATGGGTCTTCCCATGACACACATATATGATGCGCATTGTTTTGTGGAGTCCTTTACTCAGATCAACTGGGTCATAAGTCGGCTTCAAGAAATATTCTCGACATCTTGCGGGGAGAATCCAAGTGTGTTCGAAAATGATATAGGGGTGTTAATTTTTGGCATATTTTTTTTTGTCTTTCCTTTTGCTATATTATTTTAGCTTCTGCTAAGGTAGATACTTCTCTACTGTAGCGCGTTTTCTCGGACACTGCTCCTTTGTACACCTACCCTCCTAGGTTGAAAAAAAAAGAAAAAAAAGCATGAACATACAGGTAGGAAGAGACTCACTTGTGAATGAAGCGCGTGAGAAGAACAATTGGCACTTTTTTGTCACGTGTCGACGTGGCTGTTTCTTCTTTTCCTTTACGGTAATCCAAATGCTTTTTAAAATATTTGGGTGTCTCGGATGGATATATACTGAGAGGGAAGAAGGGAGGAGAACACCAAAGGGAAGACAGCATGATGTCGGAACACATTGTTAAAATTCAAACAGGCTTTACAACTGGGTCTACATCCCTGTCACTGCGTAATCATCAGAGGTCCCCTTTTGTGGGATCCTCCTTTAAACAGGCAACGTTTTTTTTTTTTTTTTTTTTTTCTACGTACACGTTGGTCAACCAAGTCAGGACGTTAATTTTACTTTGTACGAATCTGCTATGCGTATGTTCGTACCCTCCACTGGGCACTTGACAATTTACAACATAGGACAAACAGAACAATGCAAAGTGGAGAAGCAGCCCCCGCCTCGCCATTCCTGAGGTTTTGTATTTATTTAACATCTTTGCGGGCATGGCGACACGACGTAGTTGGGCCTTGGAGACAAATTGGAAAAACCGAGGAGGAAAGAAAGCAGACAAACGGAGACAAGTCAGACCGGTAAATGTAGCGCTTAGTGAGTGAGCGCTAAATTGTGTTGTCTCAATTTTGGGGTCAATGTAAATAATTATTCACCCAACAGGTGCTTTGTCGTGAGGAGATAGTATGCCTCATCTTCAATGATGCGCAAAAAGAACAAAAAAAAAAAAAAAAAAAAACGACAAAGGAAAAGAACAAATATAGTGTATGTACAGAACGGTGTCTAACAATTTGGCTTTTTTTTTTTTTTTTTTTTTTGATGGAGACTTGCTAAGATTCAACCACAGTCTACGACGGCTCCCCTATCCTACAGCGGTGCTGTGTATCCACAGACTTCTTATCCGCCCATTTAAGTGCTTATTTATAATGTTCATTTAAGTGCTTATTTATAATGCTCATTTAAGTGTTTATTTATGCGTTCATTTACGTGTCATTTCTGCGACTACCCATGTACCTCCGCGCACCGGGGCGAATGGAACTCACCCGACGTGCATACTCGGTAGGCTTATGCACATACACCTACACACAAACACGCACACACACACGCATATACGCACGCAACTCTGAAGAAATGAACCCTAATTGGTAAAAAAAAAAAAAAAAAAAAAAAGGGGGGGGGG